CAGTTGAATTGACATGACGCACTTCTTACCAGCAAGGGTTAGACAAAATATTAGAATCTTTCGTAAAGTAGATTATTGCTCTAAGTTTATTTCCCAATAATTAAAAAATCTGTACAATATTTCGGTATGTTTTCATTTTGGCTTTTACCGACAGACTTCCATAAACTTTACTTCTGTAAAATGTTCACTGGCGCACGAGGCCTCCGACTGACACTGTTTCCTCATGTGTTTTAGATCTTTGGAAGTGACGGGTCAATTTTTGGCAGGATATTTCTCTTAAAGGTCAGGCAATTTTTCAGTTTCTATAAATCGATACACTAGCAGATATTTTACAAAAGACCTTTTTATGAGTTGAATTTTTTAAAGAATTAACCTAACGGAAAATTATTACAAATTCTAACATTTCTGCACTTTATTTTTTTGTATCCAACGGTTACGGAAGAGCGCCATCAGAGGTCAACTTTCAGACTCTGTAGCTACTTTCAATGTTTGTTTTCATTCATAAATTGTTTTCAACCAGCACACATGGTTCCTAGCGCGAAGAACCCAAACTGGGCATCTCTACCTTCCCTAAAAAATCAATAGAACATGAACAAACATGAACGAGGCCTACAAAGCTATCTGATAAAATATTTTCATATTTATGGGAATTTTGGGGAGAGGATTGGTAAAACGCCCACAGAAATGAATAAATGAACCACAGTAATCAAAACATAGACAAAACCAGCGTTGCAGAAAAGAAAACATCTCGTGCTTTCCAATAGTCCCACACCAAATCAATGAAGTAACTCTTGTTTGGATAAGAAACGACCACTCTCTCTAAATACGCCTCTGCCTTCGTAACAACGCGTGGACGAACACGTGAAAGGTACAGAAATTAACAGCAGGTTGATTTTGCTACCTTTACAGCAAAGATATTCAAACTGTAACATTAATGTAGCGGGCGCTGCTTTTATTACAGAAATTAAAGGTAGCTGGTTCCATTGGTAAAATCCCAAAGATGGGACTACCGAATAATCCTGGAATGTATTACTTGAAAGGAAGTACATAACGGCCTCAATCAGTCTGTCAATTATTCCGCCCAGAATGCTGAAGTTTTCGAGAAAACAGAAATTTATCTTTTTTTCACGATGGTCGCCCGACCATCGATTCCTATTAACACACCTAATCCGTTAACAGGTGCCAGTTTTTATGTTGTGGGGGTCTGAATGAATGGTTATACTAAAAGCAGCTAAACCATACCAGCAGAAATGCATCAAACACACTGTAAACTGAAATTAGAGGAAAATGAGTGTAAGGTTTACAGCAGAAAATAAATTGGATCCGTTTGAAGTTAAATTTTATTTAACAAAAGGATTTTCTTCACTCAAAACTTTGCGAACCAAAATCATCGCAAAGCATAATGGTATGGTTTAAACATGGTGGCCGTTCCCGGGATGCACAGACTGGTTCCCGTCCCTTCCGTAGTCTCCAGACGTCTTGCAGACGTTCTTCAAACAGGGATCGGTTGAAGGTAATGATTCCGGCCGAATCCTGCTGGTTTTATGTTAATGAGAATTTAGCATAATTGCACAATGGAACACTTTCACGTGACAAAACTTAAGAATACTTTCTTCAATTGATTAACACTCTCTCTACAGAGCCATTGCTGTACGCAACACACTTTCAAACGTGTTAAACTGCTTTTTAGTGATAACCAATTCCATAATTAAACATTTCTGAAGCTTTCCCGAGAGCCATTTGTTCGGCTGTCACGTGAACAAAAGAGTGTATGTAAACATCATCTCTGTAATAAGAAAAAGCAATTGCGCACGTGTTGAACTAACCAGACCTGGTCCCCATACCAACTTATACCATGCAAGACATGGGACGGAGGGGTACCCCCCACCTGTCCAATCCCTATACATACTGTAGACTATTGTTACCTAACACATCCCCCTAGAAGTCTGTAAAGAAATCTTGAGATTCCGATCAAACAATGACCAATACAAAGGCGTCTCCGTCCGATATCTCGCTTCAAATGTACCAAATAGCTACCGGTCCCTATATAATAGGGACGGGGACCAGTCCAGGAGCTGCATAGCGAGTGGATTTTCGTCAACAGAAGAACGATATCCAAGTGAACCCTCCGATGTTTGGAGATGCAATTCCCTCTTAACCCATAATTGTTAGTCAACTAAGAATAGAGTGTTTAGATTTTCATTGACGTGTAAGCTGACGTAAAAGTGTCATTAAGCACGATCACGCACGCACGTGCATTACTCGTGCAAGTTGGCTGTATTTTATTGCAGAATGAAGTTCTTTCATGAATCCGCTATGCTACACCGCCGAGACGGAGCATAGATTGATTTCACATAAGCGCCGTCTGCGCATATCTGAATCGAAACCGAGGCTCTCTGTGTTGGACTTCGTCGCGCGCGCCCGCGGAGTCCACACAGTACATGGAGTATCCGGTTCGTAAGTGTGACGCCACTTCAGTTTAAACTACGCCCACTGCACAAAATACACGACCATCGCAGGTACGTTAGTTCGCGGTCAACTGTCGTTATTTTTTCTTTTGATTTTACGTGTCGAGTCATCCTGATAGACTCTTCTACAAAAATTTGCATCCTGAATAGTCTGAATTTAACATACCTTTATGTATTTTGTGTCTTAACTCCTTACTTTCAATCGTCTGATCGTATTAAGAATTGAAGCCGACACATACAACCTCTTTTTCAAACGCGGAAGTGCGCAGATGGACGCTAAAAGCGTCGTATTGGGATCCCTCTATTACTCCAAGGAAATTCACCGATTACTCCTGGCTGTTGAAAACTGCTCTTTTTTAAGGCAGAGAGAAACTGTCATGCCTATCTCCACTCTGACCCCTCGGGTCACTACGAACGCCCTGTACTTCATGGACTTTACGCAAGATAAAATTACAAGATCTTCGATTTAACCGTTGAAAATACCGCTCTGTTTTTCTCGATTTTTCACAAAGTAAACGTTCACTTCAACAGTGGAATAAATGCTGCAGTAAACCTTATACCACGAATCTACCAATCTTGGTAAATTACACCCAAAAAAAACAAAAACAAAAACAAAAACAAAAAACAAAAAAGGTCTCATCTCCCTTTAAACGCCCAAACCACTATCAAACAGACCTGTATCATAATGACGCCACACTTTATTTAGACTTGCGCCTACCTATGACAGTGTGTTGGGATGCGATCCATAGAGCAGCATAGAAAAGCGCTCATATAAACAAATCGGGAGGTCATTATGATTTATGTTGGAAAAAAACTGAAATGGAGAATGGGAAAATTTGGAAAACAATCTATATTCCATTGAAATCATTTGCTTACGATTTACTCTGAAGGCCATCTAGGTCCCAAACTTCAAAAACCTGTTCATGATTTTGTTCAGAGCTTCGATATTTATTGTCTGAGTTGAAACATTTCTGAATAAATATGGAAAAACAGCATGTAATGATTTTTTTAGGCATGAACTTAATTGCTAAAAATTCTTCAAAAATAGGTTCTTAAAAAATTATCCACAGTCTTACAATCGCGCTGAGTATCAAGAATTGCGCCCGAATTGTGAATGAAATTCTTCAGTCAATCATAGTATTGTGCTTTAAAGTTCAGAAAAACAGGAAACAACGTACCCTCAGATGGCTTGTAAACATAAGTAGAAAAAGAAAAGAATCTACATAGGCCTACATGTATACCATTTTGCTACGAATGTAATGTTGGTGTTGTCATCACAACTGACCTCCAAGGTTTATGCTCCAAGGTTACAAGGCATTCTGATTTCAGCTCCATTCGTATTTCAAGAACTGGGGGAAGACAATTGCTTTAGTAGGATTCGAACCAATGACCTTCTGCTTGCTACGGCAAAAGCCTTACCGCTAGAATCGATAAGGCAGCGAAAAATGCGGGTTACAACTGAGCTGTCAGCACGGCAAAACAAGAGCTAGACTGTTTTGTTGTCATGAGCAGAACCCAATTTTGTTCTCACGCTATACTGGTCTAGGGACATCTTGTCCATAATTGTCAGCGTGAAACACAGAACTATATGCTTTCTGCTGACAAGAGCAATTCTTGTCACTGTGGCCAGAACCCATGCATCGAAAATAGTAGCACTTCCTCTTGTCCCCAAACCACGCACGTATCAAGATACATCCAAGGGTGAGAAGGGGAACGTTGCCTCGAGATGAATGTTGTCACCTTTTTAGGAATTGAGAACGCCAACCTTTCACAGTGAGTGATCTGTTACAGATGGAAAGGGAACAAATTCCCATTTGCTCCCGGCCCCAAAACCTGGATATGCCGAAGGCGTGCATCACCATCCAGTGAAGGCTACCTCAAGAAATGTCAGTCATCGGTCTCCAAGATACCGTACGCACAATCAGTGTGCGCCCAGGATTTTGTCTTTGGAAGAAGGGGGAGGGGAACTCGGATCCCCTCCCCCAAAAAATTGCTCATGAAGCTCAAGCCTCAACTCCCTCCACCCCCGTCTGTGCCACAGAAGACTGCGATGGGCCATGGGGGCTATATCAGAGCTGGTAGTTTAAGATGTAGGTGTGTATCTTTGTTTTTCAGAAGGGTTAAAGAAAAGGGGGGGGGGAGTCAAGCCCCCAAGCCTGGGGGGGGGCGCAACTGTGCAGCCTAGGCCTAATATAGTTTTTCTGAATAATAGCTAGGCCTATGCCGATGCTGAAGGATTGGATCGGTCGACAAGTAGTCAGGTTAGATAGTGTACCGGATTTCGTAAGTAGAAGTTGATATTCTGTGGCGTACGATTTGTCGCGCAAGCCTCGAAAGAGCTGTACAGAGTACTACGAAATTCACCATCTGTAACATGTAGAAAATGTGCAGCCCTTTCCAGTTGAGGGTGCACTTACTTATCCTGACACCCAACGGGGCGACTCTTTGGTTTCACATTATTTAAACCAGCCATACTAAGCACACTTAAGACACATTTTGGTAGCCTCCGGTAAGTGTTCTGAATGCACTTACCAGTTTTACAGTGCAGAACAGCGTGACACAGCCGGCCCAGTCAACTGCAGCTCGCATTGGTCTGCTGTCGCAATTTCATCTAAAGTCGTTCAGTCATCACCGTCCGCTCTGATGACACGTCATTCTACAATTACAGAAGCCAGGCGTGTCTCTGAAACGCAGACCAATATGCTGCATCAGTAGACAGAGCGACGAAACTGCATACCAGTGTCATCCACGGTTTACCCTGTGACAAAAGCAAATGCAGGCACGGAAGTACATGTACGGTTTGTGCAAGAGTAGGCAGCGTGCTGACGTTCACCGCGGTGACTTGTCGCCAATCGCATTCACTCGCCAGTACAGCCTGGTTTCCATGGTCGTTTGTAGCGCAGACGGCAAGACGCGAAGACGCAGACACTCGCGGGAGAGACGCTGCGCGACGTCATTCCACTCAAAAATTATCAAACAAAAGGGCGTCCAAAATTCAACATTCAAGGTTCAATGTTGCCGACTGTCTGCGTCAAGTCGCTGAGTAGGCCTGTACAAACACGCACGCATACAAGGATGCGGTCTGAAGTGCAGAGCATAGCCTACAGTTTTCATTGAGATTGTTCACGTTCAGCTCGGACAACCGCGCGGTTGCTCAACAAACTGCTGCATTTAAAAAAGACCGAGTTGTCCATAGATATCGCTCTGCGACTGCACGTTCTAGTCAATCAGCTTTCTCGTTGGGTATGACATCATGGTCTGGCTATTTCATTGTTAGATGGAATTTCAGGCTATCACGGTGAAAGACAGGAATAAGTGGGAAGGTTTGCGGTAGCACCATGCGAAGGAAATGTCTCTTATGAATATGAGTATGTGTGGCTCTGAAAAGAACCGGGAATCTGCTGTGTAAAAACGTAATATGTATCGCGCGGCATTACTGTATATCGCTTTCTGTTTTTGCTTTCCGTTACCGCACGCGTATGTAAATGGAACCTTCACGGTATCCATTCTACATTTACATGTATATTGTCTTACTGTAGTTTTTATAATTTTCGTTATAATTGTTTAATCTTAATTTAATACTAGTACAGCACTATTGAATACCCTTCATATAAATAGCGGTCAAGAAATGAATCAATCGTCAGTGTTTTCACAAGGTTACAAAAACCTGAAAAAATGGATAATAATTTTTATCTCCATTTTTTTCTACCATTTTACTTCCATTAATCCAAAGAACAAATCAGCACAGTTCAAAAGCAAAATGCCGTTTACTTTCCTGGTAACTAACAAAAAGCTTGGTCCCTGTATTTCTGTTTTGACAGGGACAAAAAAGCCACATCTTTAGCAGGGCAAAAATAGAGAATTTCTGCACCAACAGTGTGTTGTGGGTGTACGCATGCGTGCTAACGATGTTGTGCATGAACACCTGCGCACATGTTGACATGTAACAACTGGATTTTCTGGTTTAACGAGGTGAAAAAACTTTTTAGTTTTTATTAATAAATTATTCTACAATATATCTGCAACTAAGTATGGATCAGCATTTCCCAAGTCTTACATTTCATGACTTTGTAAACAATTCCTCCGTAACATTAAGCTGACCGAAAGTGTGTATTGAAAAAGCTGGTCTTTTCAAACGCGCTTATCTCGGATTGTCCGTTTGGCAAGATTTTGAGGTTTCCGTCGCTCCGTGAAAACACCGACGAAGTGTTAAATGTTACCCAGTTTACCTAGCTTTTCCCTGTTCATCACGCTTGTTACGCTCGCGTGTATCAATATGGCTTGTAGAGTTGACATTTAATCCAGAAATAGCGATGTTTCTTTTTCTAGACGTGTAAAGTTAACATTTAATCGTGAAATAAAGATATCTCTATTTCTAACCCCAGCATACTCAGCGCTGTCGGCACGGTAGGTTTACCGACTTAACCTCCAACGACAAGAAGGACCTTGTGGTATGCCGTTAGCGTTTCATCTAGCCCGACGTGGTCTATCTAACAATTCAGTTGGAGCGGCAAGTAAACAACATAAAAATGGCCTTTGTTTTATGGGCCCTCATCGCTCATCCGAACAGCAGAAGATAATTATTTTTTAGCGGACCATGAAAAGAATTTTCAACATAATGCCATGTCTGGTTTATGAACATTTTGAGCCAAGTGGCATGACGCCTATTAGCTCCGCCGTGTGTTTCACATTGATAATTTAACGACATGAACACAAAAAAAATCGTTTGTGGAGTTTACAGCCCAAGCAAGTGCCCACGTGTCAGGGTTTGGGAACGGTCGAAACAAATTGCATACAAACCATAAATCTCCTTTGGACTTCTGCCAGCCCCTGGGATGATGATGATGATGCCATCCAGAAACAAAATCTGCCGGTCCTAAAGTGGACAGACGCAAGATGACAGATCGAGGGTATTTTCTTTTTACGGCAGCCAAGTAGTGACGACCCGAACCGTGTATTTTTTTGGGGGGGGGCGGGGTAACCCAAGACTGTAGTTCTTCGTGGTCGGAATCACACACGGCTACACTAGGCCCCATTTGTGAAAAGCACCGACACGAAATGTACACAAAGTGCAAGTATTATGAATATGATTCTGAGATAATTGCTAGTACCTACCAGATGCCCTGGGTGTAGGCTCCTAGTGCTGAAGTGAGGACTTTCTAAACATGGCAGATGGCATATTCTCCTAGATTCAGCACATCCAAGGCCATAGTCGTAATATACTACTGTCAAAAACACCTATACTTGCCCTTTTTAACAGATATTACCAAATAATTGTTTTCACATTTGCGCAGCAGAACGTTAACAAATTTTGTTTATCATGCTTGATCATTCAATTCTTGCAGGCAAATATTTTTGATATGATGCAGAACAAAAAACCTTGGCCTGTCATTTTCCTTGCAGTACGTTGCAATTTGAAAAGGGCATTTATGTGCCACCATATCAAGTGGATGAGAGAAGGCCCCTCTATTTATCAACTGAAAGCCATTCTGGCGACATTTAGTTCAAACAACAAAGTGTTCGTGACACAACAATGCATAGATTTCAATACGAGTCTTTTTCTTACAAGGATATGTTTCTTTTTATTCTCGTTTTGACAATTGAGTTATCTACAAACTTTTCCTGTTTTACTTAGATTTATCTATAACAAAAAAACACCTTCAAAACACAATAATGTACAGTACTTATCACTTATATAAGTTATAACTGAATAATATGACTGGTGTCCATCCAACATGCACGGTATCTCTAAAGCATAGGTCAACAGGAACCAGTGCAGATATTTACAAGTCAAACTGTTGGCATTTTGAGAGCAACCTACACCCGCTCGATGTATCCCTACGGGTCTCGTTAGAACTAAACACTCTCAAACTGCTTGGATGCTCAATTGAGCAATCAATTGCCACCATTTCTAAGAAGATTAAATACCGTTCGCCTTGGGGGCCTGTCTGGAGCAACGGGATACGAAATTTGCAACGGAGGATTTTAAACGACTTCCAATCTGGACTATAAAATCTTGAGCTACTTTCATGTTGGGCCGGCAATTCAAAGTCAAATGCGGTAGAGTTCGTTGCCCAGGGTCAAGTTTCTTGGAGCTGCTCGACAGAAACAGAGGCCGCCCATCAAATGAGCACGCTAAGCAAGAAATCACCCGACAACGGAGACGTACAGCAGAACTCTTCTGGAATTATACGACTGGTAACCCATTGGCGCCACGCAAGTCGTGCGGCGTGCCCCGGTACATCAGAGCAATTGACAAGTTACGACAACTACATGGAATGGGCCCTGGTTTTACTGCAAGAATAGGAGCGAAAAGATACCATAGGACAACAAAAGTTGAGGAATTAAAATTACAGAAATGACGATTAAAAAATACCAATTGACAACTGTTCTTCCATCAGTGCCCTGAAGTGCCCACAAAAGAAAAACTTCAGGAGGGTCACTGACAAGTTAAATTGTGCAGCTGCAGGTTTGTACTCCGCAAAGCTCAGGAATGGAAGAGACTGACAGGAAAAAGGTCAATTTTTGCTTCAGCTGATATTCACTGTCTAAAGTAAGGAGGCTTTTAGAACCAACGTCTGTAATTGTTGTACAAAAAAAAAAAAAACACAAAAAACAAACTGGAAACCAAGAAAGCCGGAAAAAGAGTGAGGACCGACTCCTTGAGATTATAACCTGTGGAGGAAAAACATCAGGAAATCGCATGCATTGCGTAATTCCACTGGTGACCATTTCGAAGTTACGCTCTCAAAAGAGGCCAGGTTTGAAGAAGGATTGCAGGTTGGTTTCCTTTCTCTGACCGAAAAAATCGCAAACCATTTTGGGGTCAAAGTTGTCCGCCTCCGGCGACAGATAGATGAGACTTGGCTGACACCTTTCAATATGCCAGGCCAGGATTCTCTTTGGCCCAGTTTGACCGGCCTGTCATGTCCAGCTTAATCCATTCCGAGGAGGATTACCAAGCGCTGGATGTCCTCCTAATATCTCACCACCCCTCGTCGTGACTTTCACCGTGCGACTCACATCCTTGTGACAGCAAGGCTTACAATGCCAGACAAAAAAGGGAAGATAGAGGTTCCTCTTCAGTAATTCCTCAGCACTGCTTGGAGAGAATATAGCTTATTTAAAGTTCAATTTATAACAGCGAGCCAAGTGGCTCCTTTTTGAATTTGCATCGCTTCACCCCCCCCCTTTTGCACGAAGACCGGATTCTTTTAAATAAAATGTAAATAATTCCAGAAATTGCAGCTGCAGGTCAGTCAGTAAAACTGGCTGTAAATAATCCAGCCACTCCTGGGCGGTGCAATGATCGTTCCTGCAACCAAACATCTTGAATTTGGTCAAGTCTTCAGTTTATCAGCTCAGGGAAATAGGACCTGGAGCCATTGTGCATAAATAGCCCGTTTTGTTGTAAATCGTTGTTTGGCCAACCCCTCCATAACAAAACGAGCATAATCAACGCTCCACAGTTCACGTACACACCCTTCACAAGGAAAGCTGCATGTATAAAGCGAGCAACTTAGGGGAACCACTTCGAAGAAGGCCAGTAATACTTCAGTCATACACACAGACAACTTTGTCAATGAATTTGCTCTTCCTCGACATTATAAACCTGTCTTCGCAGTTTCTAAATTTACTGCTCTTTTCAAGAATGCTTCATAATTGTATTATAATTTTCACTGTCTTCCATGGCAGCAAGTGCATTCAGTCAATGCCTTTTTCTCCCGAAAGCCCTTCAGATCCATTTTTCTTTCGCATACCAAAGCATATCCGTGAACAAAACCCAGTTGTACCCTGAATATGGCTTATGTGAGAGGTAAAATATAAACGTGATTACTACATGTAGCTGCCACAAAACATGGATAAACTATCCGGCTACACTCTGCACTAGAAAAGGATGTTCAATATTACAGACATTGTTGTGGTGTTTTATTGTACCACGTGATTTATGTACATGTGCGCATCCCTCAAAGAACTGATGTGTGATAAAGGTCACCTGTTGTTACTGCCTAAAAATTCAAAGTGCAGTCAACAAAAGCCGGCGATGGACCACGGTAAATCGGACACAAGGCATCTAGACGGGGGAATTTCTCGAATTCTAGCCATGTATTGGAGAAAGCTGGGTCACCTGAACATGCATTTGTCGATGACAGCCACCACGGGTACATTTTCTGCAGGGGGATGTCGGTATGGACCTGTGCATGGACCTGCAAAATTCCACCAAGCTCCACACCGCTATCCGTCCCACACCCCTTCGCCAAACCATTTCATTCGGAGGAGGGTCCATCATCATTTGTCCCCCAAGTTTTATACAGTTTCCAAATAATCACAGTCATAGTCAAAAAGGGGTGTATTTGGGGGTCATATTTTAGGACCTGATGTGTATGGATGCATGGTTTTAAACTTCATTTTACGTACGTGTGCACCATTACTAACAAATGCATCCTGGTGTGCATGTAGTTAAGCACTTCTTGCCGCATATCAGGCATGCGATGGGGAATCAAACAAAGGAGAAAAATTCCAAACATTACAGCTTTGAAGAGTGTTTTTCCATGCATGAGAATTAACCCCCCCCCCAAATGCAAACAAAAACAAAACGCAGAACAAAAAATATGAGACAAAACACCAAAAACTCCACCTCCTCAGAGGGCACGTTGCTTGCCTGTTATACAGACTGTAAAATGTACATGTAGGCAGTGCCCAAGGTCAATAGTTGGAAAACAAAAAGTAAAATAATAATTAAAAAAAAATCTGTTATTCTAATGTCTTCTTCCCGCACCAGTCACAAAGGTATTGACACACAAGCTATGTGAAACAAAGAAAAAACCCAATGCTGGTGACGCAACGAATTCATCAAGACATCAAAAAAGGGGCAACATTGCTCTCTGTACTTTGCAGAGTTGACACAAACAGTGAACCACTTCTACGTGCCGACAAGCTGATGAAAAAAACCCAAAAGGAAACAAGGCTAGGCATCAAGTCTACATGTACCATATAATATTTGTCAAAACCACTGCTTCGGAAAAAGGGCAAACGGTTGTCAAGATTTAGTGATTCAGCACAGTATTCTTCTTTAAAAGAATCGTTCAGAAAATGTTCGTAACGTTAATCCAGGGTTGCTTTTTAACTTATATGTCTGAAGTGCTCCAAAATACTCCTTGCATAAGTGGCTGATTTCAAAGAATTGTGGCCATGTGGTCAAAGAGTGTGGCTATAGTTTGCGTCAAGGCCCTGGGCCAGCCCTTGGCGATATTCATGCCCCACAAAGCATAAATTGAGGCCTAGATGATACAAGAAATCATCCACTTTGCTCCAGGATACAATTCACATTGCCTCCACAAATTGACAGGAGTTGCTGGAGGATTTTGGACGACTGAGGCTGTATCCAATGTTTACATCGAGGGAGAAAACGGCATCTGCTGGATGACGGTTGCATCCTAGCATGGCGGTTAGCTACCAGGCCTGGAGTATGTGAAAGGTCATGTCCAAACATTTATGTACATGCTTACAGTTTTCACAATTTGTTTTTTACGGAAAGTACACTGGAAAAACTGTTGAAGGATATGAGGTGTTGTGGAGGTGGAATACAGCTAACCTGATTTTCCTAATGTCCTATGAACCATTAAAAAAAACATTAAAAATACAACAAAAAACCTTTTCCCGGTCCAAATGTTACACGGAACGTGAGAATAAAATGATTGTACATGTTGTAAATAATGGTATAAAGACAGGTTCACGCTCGACTTTCCACACAAGAACAATCCGAACAAAAATTTCAATGTGCATTCAATTTGCTATAAATTTACCCATAATTATTTGTGCCGTTCAATTAATCATGCACACATTACTCAGGCTTTTCATACTGAGTTGATTTTGGGGAACTACACACCCCACAAAAGTCACTCGGGTAGACGGGTTCCACTGGTAGACTTTTACTTTTAAGGGTCCCACAATCGGGTTCCACTGGTAGGCTATAAGGGTCCCACAGAAGTCACTCAGGTACATGTAGTCCGGTTCCACTGGTCGACTTTAAGGGTTTGGCGACTTCCAGATCATTTGGTTGAATGTGACTGGGGAGAGTGTGGATCAAGAGAAGGCAAAAAGGGGGTGGGGACTACAAACCCATGTTCCTTGAGTCCTTGATACTTGGCTCAATTAACGTTCGTACTAAAGTACATTTTTAAATTTAATCTCCCTTACAACAATGCTACAAACTGTGCTTAATTACATGTACTCATGTCAGCCTACCATACCACCACATCAGTTCTAAGATACCGGTAACAAAGCCTGCGGTCTCCTCACGTGGAGGCCCCCATTTGTAACCGCGGAGTTGAATGCGACCGCGTGGGCTCCATCCGCGCCATGACGGTGGCAAACCACGTCGCTACGTCCACCTTGGCCAACTCGTAGCGTTTGAAGAAGCTGTGCTCCTGGAGAAATAAAAAGGATAAAAAAAAAAACCACACATGATTGATGACTTTACAAGTGTACATACTTGTAAGGTACTCCGCATCCGTTTCTAGCCCCCGCAGGTAGAAATCAATAGACACTGGCAAGTCGTTTATTTTTCCCTTTCTACTTAGTCCTGATTTGCCTAGATAAAAAGATTGCCTAAACTATGGTAATCTATGTGCGACATCTGAAATGTGAGGGGGGTCAGATACTGCTTGGGACAATGTGACACGATCTCCTTCCAAGAGAAACAGAAACAAGTAAATTATTGCGTCTTCTGAACTTCCAATGGCAGGATGGTGTACAGTATGATTAAATCTATTACATGTATGTACATGTACACTGTCTATTTGTATTACTTTGTATCTCTAAAATTCAAACATTACATCACCAAAAATACTCTCTTGAAAAGCATCTTTGAAGAGATGCACTTCTTTTTTTCCCTTTCATTTACTCTTCACGGTCCCCCTCAGCACCCTGCAGTCAGCAAATCATTGGACATTGTATGACAGTACCAATGACAGAGTTTGGCAACCTTGGTTTCAAACTAATGTGGGCTGACCGTTACATTAAGTAACACATCGGAATGCTTTTTCACAAAATGCATTTAAAATACTAGTATTGAGACGCCAAAGACCTCAGACCACAATGTCCACGGTGATTTCAGTTCTCAAACCTACTGTGCAAATCACACCATTCTTTAAAAATCCATTCTTCAATTTGTTAACCTGCACAGCTCAATGGGACCCTGTACACCACTAGCTGCTGGTATCATCACACCGTGTCGTGAAATTTCAGGAGATTCAATCTTCCCATGGAGAAAGTAATGTGCCCGATCCAATTGGATTCATATTCCATTCAGAGGGTCTGCCTACAAAACGCGGCAATTGTCTGGGGGGGGGGGAACGGAAGAGACACAGACACCCTGGAGTGTCTGAGCGGTGTCTTTCAATATTAAAAGGACCACCTGAAAACCCAGGAGTGCTGTGTGGTTGGAGCGCACTGTATCGGTTTACTGTCCGACTTGAAATGGGGGTTAAACATGCACATGGGCACATCAGGTGACCAGGTGAATGTCCAGTGAAGCTAAAGAGTGATTTGTCTTTCACCTGCCAATCCATGCAGTGCAATCAGACAAATTGAACAATATCCCCAGGCAATCTCTGCACCCAGGGGGGAATCGTGGCATGTTTATATCACTAAAGTTCCCCATCTGCATGGAGAATGATCCGATATAGACAGCACTCTCCTCCCCTCCCCCAACAAAATTAGAGTTTTTTTTTTTTTAGAACTTCTATAATACTGTGGTAACTTTCCAAAATTCCAGGTATTATTTTCTTTCTACTGTTTTGCCATGGCCACCCCAATCTAACTGAAAAGAGTGATGAATCCTACAAGTTGTACATGACTCTGAAGTTGATTGATGACACATGACTGAATTAATAACATTCCCTAACTGAGACTGTCAGTTTACATTTGTATCATTTGCATTTGCATAAAATATGAACTAGTCTAAAGAAATCAATGCAGCGCCCATGTATGAAGTGACAACAAATCCGTCAATCATTTCTTGTCCCTAGCGCCTGCAGCAAATGGCATTTCAATAGCAAAGGATAGCCAGAAAAAAAAAAAAAAATAGAAGTACACTTCAGACTTCAAATTAGTGGGAGGTGGCTAAAAACCACATGCTGATTTCCAACATGCATCACATGCCTTAACCCTAACCCTCCTCAATCCTTCGCCTGTTGGAGGATTGAGGAGGGTTAGGGTTAATGTCATGAGCAATCATGGCAGGTAGTGTCTTTTCTTCACAGGGCCAAGGAAAAGTCCTAAATCTGTAACTTTGAACTGGCCTGAAACATAATGACATCACGCATTGTTAACCTGTGCGCTTGCCTAAGGGGGTCCTGTGAATTGCGTCCCCACCTCAATGTCGTAGCAAAGCACACAGGTCTGTTACTGCCTTCCAACACTGTACAGCAGCTGGCTGCCCTTCCCAGTTGCACGCAACGTTTAAGACCAAAATCGAGACCATAAAACTCACTTCCTGAGGGTCTGTTTCTTTCACACTTATTCTGGATCGAGATCGGCGATCTGTCGTTGGTCCACTGACATCCTAGACTTGAATCAAGTCGGACTCACATGTGCATGTACGGTGCTCTTCCCCAGTCAGCCATCTTTCAGCCTGTATGCACTACACAGTCATCATCCTCGGATCTGCCCTCATTTGATAGCCTTTATTATACAATGTTTGTCAGTAAGTCCGACTTGACGGATAGCCTATTGTACCCCCGTCGGTAAAATGGACATGTAGTTATTCATAACTGCATATGAACAACATTATCTTGTATAATGTATACAAAATTTTCACCAGTCAAAGTAGTCAGACTTGTAGACTTGTATCGACTTGTATATGGAATTTCCACCAATCAAAGTAGTCAGACTTGTAGACTAGCTCATTATAATGCAGGTATGAACGACATGAAAACAAGTCGGGTAACGTGATTGGCTGCTCCCACTTTTGGTTTTGATGAGCCCATTCGCTGTGTACAAACGGTTAGCAGATTTGTCAAGTTGGGATTTCTGAACTGAACTAGTAGTAATAAGTGGACACAAGAGGGCGCGAAGCAAGTAATGACGCGCGGTCTCAATATGTACCCAAAGCAGAAACGGCGACGTCAAAGAGATCCCGACTCGAGACAAGTCTACTGACATCCGAACCCGCCTCAGTATCATGGGGAGAGAATCAGGGTTGGGGTAACTGATCAAGATCCCCATGAGGCAAACAGGCCCTGGTTTATTACCCTTCTAGAGGCAACCCTCTGCCTTAGGTGGCAAATACCAACATTCTAGAGTTATGACCAATTCTGAGCCCCACAACTGATGCTGATACAGTACATATATACCTATGGGGGATATGTGTTTTTGTGGGCATACATTGGCATGTACAAACACATGTACATGTCATTTTGAAAATACTGTACTGGTGTTAATCCGAAAAAAATACATGTATATGTAGGTACTACATGTACATGTAGGTGCATGGTGTTACTAAACACTGCCCTGAGTTGTCCTGTTTAAAAGCGGCCAGGCAACGGGTAAAAAGCTAAACTTGTGTACATGTACATGCTACTGACATGAATGGTGTGGGCAACGAGCCTTTGAAGTTTGAAGAAAATGAGGGCCATCGGAATGCCGCGGTCCAGTGACTTAAACTTGTCTGCTGAGTGGTATCTTGTTACAGCAGCAATCAGAATGAGAGGATTTCGCCATCTTTTTGTGTGAAAAAAAAAACAGAGAGGCAGGAAAAAAGAAAAGAGAGGTAGAAAAAAAAATACGTGGGCTGGGGCGACTTGAAAATTGAGACTGATTGCCTTCCGAGGGGGGGTTGTCATCAAGCTTGGCATGACTTCATTTTAGAGCAAGCACAAATCACATCTTAAAGTGGCAGTAGTGTGGGATAAGAGGACTTGAGGTCAGGAGCCATCACTCCTTCAAGAACCTAATCTGAAGTCTCGCCTCTGGAAAATCCCTACGCATTTGTACACTCTTGTACCGGGATAACTTTTGGTGCAATTGCGCATTGGGAGATGGAAGTTTTGTGCACAAGGTTTGCCCTCCACCGAATGTCATACACAGTGTATCACTGCATGTGTTTATGGTTACCTTGTGGGGTACCATAGAAATAGGAAGTGCCCAACTAGGAACATTTGCTGTACTTGGGGTACTACAATGGTACCCCACACAAGAACTTCACGAAATAAAATTTTTTGGAATTTACTCAAAAAGGAGGAATTACCAAAGATGACTTATGAAGTATGTTACACAAGGGACATTTGGTCAACGTGTCAACCCAGGAAAGAGAGTCTGGTTGAAATGGAAGCGATTTGGAAACTGCACTTCACACACTACTATTTTTAGTACACAAGAACAAAGGAAATACCCCACAAGATAAAAAGTTTGGGGCATGTGTACCAGTGAGGACAGACATGCAAAAGGAAAGAAAAGATTTTCTTGGTCCCCAATGTTCAGTCCTCTGGTACACGCACACCATACACTGTACTGGGATTTGAGAAAAACTTTGAAGAGGAGAGATCTTCAAACCACTTGTTAACTTCCTGATTTTAGAACACATACATGTAGTAAAGCGGACATCTGATCAATTTCATTACTGGGCCTGGATCAAACTTGGACAAGCTCATCGTACAAACCTCTGCACAGAGTAACAGGGGGGAAAGGTGGTAGTCAAAACTGGTTTCAACATTATTTCTTAGACTTTAATTCAAGTATTCAGTCGGATTAAACTGTACTTGAATCTGTGTTTGCTTATCCTCTCTATTTTGTGCTGAACCCCCCCTCAAAAAAAAAAACAACCTTTCCAAACTGCTATCATTAAATTTATAAATCTCTCATAGCTCTCTCAGAAAACTCCAATTTCAGAACTGAAACCTGCAGTTTTAAATGCTCACCTATCAAGGTTTATTAGGATCATCAATAACTCTTCAGAAATGTTCAAGTGCCAAAAAAAAAAAAGGACAAATCACATCAACTTAATTTCACAAGGGTCTCTCTCATACTCTTGCACGCACTTGATCTGATTTTTTTAGAGGATCGCATGCAGCATTCAATAAGACACGACACAGTCGGAGTGGAAAGCCATAACTATTGACTAACAGAAGCTGCAAGCCTGAAAAAAAGTGTCATAAATTAATTCCCAGCTTCATCAAATCTTGCAGTGAATGCATTTCCTGTGGGTGGCAACAGCAGCAAGGACCAGTAACTCCTAATTACAGTCTCTCCTTTGGGTTTATTTATAGGCCAAAACCGACAAGGAGAACTCATAAATTTTTATTTTTCCTTCACAGGTTTGGCACTTCAATCGGCCGTACAGGAACAAAGTGCAAAAATTCTCCAGATTTAATTAGGAGCCGAATGAACAAACTCACAACCGCATTGAAATTGTACAAGCAACACGGTA